ATTCCATGTAGGCAGTTCTTATTGTAGTTTTTAAAAAGGCAAATGGAAAAATCTGGATGTGTGCTGATTACTCGACTGGTTTGAATGATTCTTTGAATGCACATAATTATCCACTTCCAGTGTCGGAGGATCTTTTCATAAAACTCAATGATGGAATTTGCTTTGCAAAGGTTGATCTTTCTGATGCTTTTCTTTAACTGGAAACTGATGAGGAGTCCAAAGAGCTCCTTCCTATAAACATCCAAAAGGGATTATTCAGATTTAACCATCTTAGCTTTGGTATCAAAACCAGCACCAGACATTTCCCAACAGACAATGGATGCAATGCAAAATAGATTGACAGGAGTTGCAACAGTCATCAATAACATCATTGCAGGAACAAATCAAGATGAACTTTTGCAATATTTATTTTCTATTTTCAGCCAAATTCAATATGAATTCTGTGTTAAAGCTGAAAAGTGTGAATTTTTCCAAGAACAAAGCAAATATCTTGGGTTTATTTTTGACAAAACAACCAGATCCAGCAATAAAAAAAAAAAAAAAAAAACATGCCAGCACCAACAAATGTAACAAAATTACATTCTTTCCTTGGCTTGGTTAGCCACTACAGTGCGTTTTTGATCGAGCTTTGAGTTCATGCACCCTACAACAATCTTTTGAAAAAAGATGTTGCATGAGTGTGGTCTGATGCATGTCAGGTAGCCTTCAAAAAGGTAAAGTCCTTACTTTCTTTCAATCTTTTGTTGACACACTACAACACATCGACAGATATTGTGGTTGTCTCTGATGCTTCCAGTTATGGTATTGGAGCTGCCATTTCTCACATTTTCCCCTGGCAGCCAAAAGGCAATTGCTCACGCATCCAGATCACTGACACCAGCAGAGCATAATTATAGCCAAATTGAAAAAGAAGCATTAGAAATAATATTTGGTATTAAAAAGTTCCACAAAATGCTGTATAGACATCATTTCACTTTCATCAAATATCACAAGTCTCTTGGTAGTATTTTTTGGATCTAAAAAGGCATATCCCAGTGTATACAGCAATCCTTCTGCAAAGATATGGTCTGTAAGGCTCTTACATTAAATTTTTCTATAAAATATACTAGTCATGCCTATGCTTATTTAGGCTCATGACTACACAAAATAAAGTACCAGAAAACTCAATCACAGCATTATCCCTAGAGCCAGAAGTCAATGGACATCATCTTTTTACGGAACACCTGATTGTCCCATCTTCATGACATGAAAGAGTGATAAAACAAATTCCATTATGGTCATCAAGGTATTAGCCATATGAAATCCCTAGTATGCAGTTATGTTTATTGGACAAATAGTTGGAGGAATTGGTACACACAGGTTCCAATTGGCAACTGGCAGCAAAATCTCCCAGGAAAACTACACTCAGTTCCTGGCCTGAATCACCTTGGTCATGCCTTCCCTTTTGCTGGACCCATCAAGGGACACTATTACTTTATCCTCATTGATGCTTACAGCAAATGGCCAGAAGTTTTTCACATCACCTGGGATGATACAATTCTTAAGTAAAAACAAATCTTCAGTCGATTTGAAGTCCTACAGATACTAATTTCTGATAAGGACACTGCATTCACTTCAGCTACATTCTCAACTTCCCGTGCACAGAATTATAATCAACACATTAAGACACCACCTTTTCATCCGCAATCAAAAAGACAAGTAGAGCATTATGTAGATACCTTTAAGAGAGCACTTCTCAAACTCGAAGGAGAGGGAACCACACAAGAAATATTCCTCAGAAGTTAAAGAGCTACACCCAATGCAAATGCACCTAATGGAAATTCACCAGGAGAAGCACTGATGTACTATAAAGTTTGTTTACAAACGGATGTCATCTATCCAACTACAAATTATTCCCTAAAAAGGGAAGAACAATTTAACCATCACCATGGAGCAGTAAAATCAAATATGTACCAGAGTAACCTGTACTTGCAAAAGATTACAACAGTAAAGAAAAATGGATCCAGAGACACATTATATGTCACTCTGGAAATGTTATGCATGATGTGGATATATAGGTTTCAATCTGGGTTCGACATGCAAACCAATTATGACCATCAAATCTACCAGAGACTAAATCAAACTCCACATTACTGCTGGACATTCTATTGGACACCTTTCAAGTGCCTCAACAAAGTTCCCAAGTAATGCCAAGGAACAAAGATAGGAATCCAGCAAAAAGTGCACCAAGGAAATCACACTGACTATGAAGTAAGCCATACTCACTACAATTAAATCCCCGACAAGTCATACAGGCACAAGGCTAAAAATGGGAGGTGTTAGGGAATGCTTACTTACCTTCCCCAAAAAGAAGGATAACTCAAAATACCATGAACTTACGTCCCTTGTCCGCTAATTGAACTATGGCACTTCTGAATTCAACATAGGTGATAAGCGGACATGCACGTGGAACTCCTGGTTTAAATCCAAACAACTCCTTGCTGCTCTCAAGCAGTAAATGAATAAAAGTTATTTTATTATGTGTTGAAATACAATTGTCTTATTTTCATCCATTTTTGTTTATCCCAACAACCTGGGATATAACACAATTTAAATTAGATACCACCACTTTTTCCAAAAAAAAAAAAAAAAAAATCATACCACAATGAAAAAGGCCCCAAACTTGATAAAAAACAAATTTTTTGCCATTAAAAGGAAAGACCAATGTATTTTTTTTTATTATTTTATTAAATTTTTTAAATCCTTTCTCGTATGCTCGAAATTTTGGTTCAATTTTTTTTTTTCTGTGTCAAATGTAGGTTAAAGATTACTATGGGTATTTTAGTGCCGTTTTCTCTGGTAAAAAAAAAAAAAAAAAAACACATTAATTTGGAAAAATCAAATAATTGTCAGACTTAAATGGAAAATTATTTTTCGAATAATTTTTTTTTTTTTAAAAAACATCTGTCACCCCCACCACTTAATTTTATGAAATTTCAAGAAATTAAAATTCCACCCTCTAGATATTTATATTAGTTAAAAGCAGAGCCCCTTGGAAAATTTACATTAATTTGTTTTTATCAAACAGAAACACCCTTTAAATAAATAAATGTTAAAATAAAAAAATGAAATAAAACTATGACATTATTTAATTAGGAAAGCTTTTGTAAATAAATAAAATCTATTAAGGACACTATCATCTTAAGAAACATTGTTTCAATAAATAATGAATTTTTACAAGAATGTTTTTTTTTTTTTTTTTAAATTTTAAATCTTTTAAAATTCTGTATTGATTTCAGCCATTTAGATTATATTATTAAGTGAAAAATTAAAAATTTAAAATCTTAATGCAAATCATTTTGCACCAAGATTTTTAAAATATTTTTAATTTTTTTATGTATGTAAAATATTATGTAACATGCCCATTTTGAAAGCATGGGCAACCATTCATTACATTCTCAGAAAATAAGAACAAGTACTTAAAAATTATATAAAAAAGGTGCCCTGATCATTTTCTTAAATTATGTTTTAAAGTCTTCGTAGAAAACAATAAAATTGTCAACACCCATTAATTATGTAAACATGGCTACTGTTGGTTAAAAAAAAAAAACTACTATTTGTTTTAAAAATACATTTGTGTTATTTCAAACAGAAAGTAAATAATATGTTTCAAATCAGATTAATTATACTTTAAATGAGCTAATATTCCTCAAATAAAGTTTCAGGAAAGTATATTTCATTTTTGAAATTTTTTTTTTTTTTTTAATAAAGAAAAATTAATTGTAATGACAGATGGCTAGAAAAGGGCACTAATCATCTACTTTTAGCCCCCAAAAATGAATTGACCTCAACTAATAGAATTTCTGTTTGAAATACACCAGAGTATTTTGCTTACAGGAAATAATAAATTTAATCCTTTAGTTTTCAATTAAATCTAATGACATTATTTAATTAGAAAAACTTTTGTAAATATCATATACTAAGGACACTATTGTCTTAAAAAAAAATCTTTTTTCGATAATGAATTTTTAAAAAATTCTTTTGTTTTAAAATTTTAATTAGAATAATTAAGTTTTAAATGTTAAAGTTCTGTATCAATTTCACCCTTTTAGATGATATTATTATCATTATTAAGTAAAAACTATATTTACTAATCATAAATGTAAAACCTTAGTACAAATCATCAAACACCAATATTTTTAAAAGAATTTTGAATTTTTCATGTGTAGAGATGTGCCAATTTTTTGTAGATATACACAACATTATCAAAAAAATAAAACTGATAACCACAGCAAATATAAAGCCAGAAAGTATTTAAGATTCAATAAAAGTATAAAACATTAGATTATGGAGAATATTTTCATAATTTTTTCAGACTACTGAGGCACTTACATTATATTCTTCAATTATTTTTTACAAGTAAAGCCACCATAGAACATTAGGTAGAAATCTGTCATGAAGCTGTCAACATAAATAAACAGCTACTTAAAAGATGCAATTCCACAATATTTTAAACTTAAAGTAAATATTTTTTAATTAAATATTAATTATATTTTTGTAAGATTTTTTTAATAAAGCAAAACTACATTGTGATGAAAGACAACTAAGAAGGGGGCGCTAATCAGCTATTTTAGCAAAAAAAAAAAAAAAAAAAAAAAAAAATCATCCCAATCAATTTAAATTCAGTTTGAAATACAGCAAAGTATTTTGCTTATTAGAAATACTAAATTTAATTTAGCGTGAAATTAATAAATAAAAGTTAAGAGTTTTCATTTTTTTAAATTCATTTTAAACCTTAGGTATTACATTTTACCTTAATTTTTCCAATACAGTTTTTCTCCACATCCACATTCCTCTTCTCAATCTATCACGTAATAATACAGAAGCTAATGCTGTCTGGTGATACAACATTCCAATTTGACATCAGTGCATTCCTATTGGGACCAGAATAATTAGCAAATACCTAAGATAAATTTAATATAAGAATAAAAAAATAGATAGCACAAATCAGTTCTACTTACCATACGAATATATGGATTGTCTCCTAAACATGTCTGACAAAGAACTGGGAATTCCTGAAAACAAAAAGTTATAATTAATCAAACAAAACAGAATATCTCCTAAATTATCAATTTCTTCAAAGATAGAATTCAGAATTAAATGCTCCATTTTAACATGGAAAAAAAAGAAAAATTCAACTATATTTAATTAATTTTTGTTTCCTTTTTTTTTTTTTAACCGGTTTCCATTTCATTTTTCTTTTAGAAATGACAACTAAGGTTAAAAAATTCAAGTCACTAACAATCACCTTGTTTTCATTATATACGAGTGTAAAAATAACCATAGCCTGGTTTTTTGTGTTTTTTTTTTTTTGTTTTTTTTTTAACTCAAGGTTTTCATTGAATAATATTCGACTTAAACATGAATAATGCTGAGAAGCGTTCGGTTTTATTTTTGAGTATGTGCATTGATGACAAGGTTACACAATTTCATAAGACCATCAACCAATCTCAATTTCATGCTATTTAATAATTTATAGTGGATAACTAAACCGCGTCTGTAATAAAAACTATAAATAAAAATTCCTCTACTTTAATTTTTTTATCTGTTTTAATCCAAAACTCATGCTTCCCAAAATAAAGAGAGATTTTCTTGTTTAAATTTCCTTTTAGAAATTAATGTTCCTGAGAATATGATAAAGAACTAAGAATAATATTATAAACTAAAATTTATTTTAAAATTAATTTCCACTTTGTAATTTTTAATTTTACGGAAAGGAAATTTTCAATTTTTTTCAATTGAATTCAACACAATCAGAGACATTGTTGTGAATTATCATAGTTTTAAGTTAAATAAATGAACATTTAACAATCAATAGGTTTATATCAATTAATTTAACAAAAATTATTATTTGTGTCATTTTATTCTCCAAGAATAATGAATTTTTGGACTACATTTAAAAAAAAAAAAAAAAAATTTACCGGTTTTTATTTTTATTCATTTATTTTTTTGCAGCATTATGTACTTGCTGCTAAAAAAAAAAATCAATCAAGGGGAGAAATTAATAAAAGAATAAAGCAATGAGGTAGCCCTTTAATTTTGAGAAATTATTATAAAGTTTTTCTTCTTTTTTTTTTTTAACAGCATGTGTCCTCAACAAGCGTTACAAATCTGAAGTAAGTGACATGTAAGATCACTTACCTTTTGCGAACGAAATTACTATACAGTACAGAGCCAGCAAGGTTACAATGAATACAAACAAAGTATGATTATCAAGTTACAAGGGCTTTTGTACATAACATAATTTCCAGGATAATTAAATAAAATCAACTCACTGAATCTTCCCAGTTCTGTCTATTGTAGGTATTTGCACCTTTCGATGTCGCCATCTTCCATTCTTTATACGGCGGAAGCTCAAACGAAAAGTGAGAATCGGTACCGACTGAAAAACGAATTCCAAATATCTAAAACTTTAGATATTTTTTTATAATAAAATTCCGTTGTGCTTGAATAAAATTATTTCCTGAAAGTTTCTAAGTTTTCTAAGTTATTTTTTCTTTGTAGAATGGTGATTTGAATCATATTTTAGTAAAATTCTCCGTTTTCACTTTAACATGATTAGGAAAATCCAATTTTTCATGCGATCTGAACTCTTACCCAACTACTTCCGGGTCATATTGACTTCAGTTTTAGGTCAACTGATGTTTAGTAAACATCGGACGCAAAATGTATAGAAAGAATGACTGAAATCTTCTGTTGAGTCTTTGTATAAAATTTGATACGAACATCTGTGATACTAATGAAGGTAAGAAGACAACAAGAATATCTTTTATGATCGTTTAACCTTAGAAAACCTTTCGTTAATATTTTTAGCTTCGTTTTTTTTTTCCTTGATCATGATGGTTACTTTTATTTTATTGCTGCTTTTCATTGGCATTAATTTCAACAACTAAATGTGCTACCTTGTTACATTTTTACCATTTCTATGGTTTTCCTTCATAGTTTTTTTTTTTTTTTTTTGACATTTGCGATATTCCTATTTTGATTGTTTCTTTTTACATCTGAACTGAAAAAATAAGAAAAGTTTTTTTCTTTTTTTTTTTTTTTTTAGATTTTTAACACGCACAAAAACACGTGTAGTGAATTAAATTTGTGATTTGAAGAAAAATACCTGTCTTTAAGCCTCTTTTTTCTTTTAAGAAAATGCTTTTTAGTTTAGTTTTTATGAATGTAAAAAAGAAAAAACAAATAAAAATTGTTACTTGCTATTAAAAATTGCGTCACATTCATAAAAAAAACAGCAGCTTTACTCGAATTATATTTTGATTTAACTTTGAAAAAAAAAAACGAGTTCTTCAACAAGGAAAAAGAGTGAATTTTTTAAAACATTAAAAAAAAAAAGAAATTTAAAAAATTAACAAAAAAGTAACATTACAGGGGGTGAGAAAGTAAAATCATAAAATTTTAGGAATATTTTTTTTTAAATTTATATTCTGTGTTGTGAGATTTAAAAAATACATCAACAAACAAACACTCAGTCAAGTATTTGTAATTTCCCCCTTGAATTTGCCTTTTTAAAAATTCCTTTCATTGTTTTTCAAATACTCACTTTTTTCTTGTTGAAGTCTTAATTTTTAAAAATATTATTAAACCAGTATATTTTTAAAAAGCATTAAGTAAAAATAACATCGTTTATGATATATATTTTTAATTATTTCATCACCATAAACAAAGGTGACGCAATTTTTAACAGCATCAAAAGTCAAAACAAAAGTGATTTTTGTTTATAGAGAGACTTTTTCTAGGCTAAGTATTGTCTTTTTTCTTTTTTCTTTTTTTTAAACTAACTTCTTACTTAAAATAAAGACGTTATTTATAAAGTAAGTAAATAAAAACCGTGAACTGACAATTATTTTTAAATAAAATAAAGTATATTTTTTTAAATTAAAACCCGTCCATCAAGTTATTTTTTTTTATATATGAAAATTTGAATTAAAACAAAAAACTCATCTTTGCTTACACAGGACTTTCTTTTTCTCTATGTGTGTGTGTGTGTGTTTTTTCTTTATCAGGTTACGGCTTTTAATTAGTTTGTCGATTGATTTAATCGTTAG